GGTCAGAGTCTTTGAAGTCGACACGTTTGACGGAGACATTGCGCACGAAACGCCGGTCCGCCTGACGCATGAGGATGAAGTCGAGGCGGTACTTCTCCTTTCCCTTGTTGGAGCTCTGGAATGTGTGCTGCACTCCACCTTTCGGTGTCCGGAAGTAGGTGTTGGTCAGGGAGAGTTGGTTGTCTGATGCCAGTCCAAGAAGTCGTTCCCCGTTGTTGTTCATAATGTCGTGTTNGAAGTCGACACGTTTGACGGAGACATTACGCACGAAACGCCGGTCCGTCTTAAGCATGAGGATGAAGTCGAGGCGGCACCTCTCCTTCCCCCTGTTGGAGCTCTGGAATGTGTGCTGCACTCCACCTTTCGGTGTCCGGAAGTAGGTGTTGGTCAGGGAGAGTTGGTTGTCTGATGCCAGTCCAAGAAGTCGTTCCCCGTTGTTGTTCATAATGTCGTGTTCGTACGCGCCCATAATCTTGGCATCGCAACACCCGTCTCGCCTCCTACCAGTGCGTGCGTTGGCGTCCATTAGCACCACGAGATGGTCACGGCTGTGAACCTCCCGGATCGCTGCGTCAAGAGCAGTCCAGAAGGTGTCTTTGGCGTTAACATCACCGCCCGCGGTGGTGCGGACAGTTTCCGTAGGCGTACCCCACCATGAAAGTTACTCCGTAGGTGCGGCCAATTGGTACACGCACCTTCATCAGCCGCGGGCCAATGCACTCCACCTTCCTACCTTCCTCGCTCAGACAGTTTCCGTAGGGGCGTACTCCACCACGAAAGTTACTCCGTAGGTGCGGCCAATTTGTACACGCACCTTCATCAGCCGCGGGCCAATGCACTCCACCTTCCTACCTTCCTCGCTCAGACAGTTTCCGTAGGGGCGTACTCCACCACGAAAGTTACTCCGTAGGTGCGGCCAATTTGTACACGCACCTTCATCAGCCGCGGGCCAATGCACTCCACCTTCCTACCTTCCTCGCTCAGACAGTTTCCGTAGGGGCGTACTCCACCACGAAAGTTACTCCGTAGGTGCGGCCAATTTGTACACGCACCTTCATCAGCCGCGGGCCAATGCACTCCACCTTCCTACCTTCCTCGCTCACACTCTCCCACATGGCCTCCTTGATCGCTATGCCCACACGGTGTACGCCCCTCTTGTCCTTGGTGCCAGCACGGGCGCCACTCCAGATGATCACGTATGTCCTGCTGTTGTGCTGCTGTGGCAACACATGTCTAGCCACCAGAATTTTGAGCCTACCTACAGGAGACACACACGAGTCGAATTTGACTACATTCTTCCAGGCTGCCTTTCGTTGCCGATTTGGAGATGGTCAAACACACACGCACATGCGCGCTCCGTTTTTCACACAACTACTTTCCCTTTCTGGTCCCCGCCGTGCAATATTGCATAAAGCTAGCGGCGGAGCGATCGGGAGGGGGGGGCAAACAACAACAACAATAAAATGGATACTGCTGCAAGACACTTAACTTCCCTCCACGTGCGAGCAAACCGAGAGCGCGCTCATTCTGAGCTATGCTCGTCAATAAGAACACCAGGCTATGTACCGTTTACCACGATGTAAGATTTGAACGCCCCCGCGGGATCCACACACCCACAGCCGCGGTCTACAACCATTTCAAGAAGAGGTACATCTACATACCGGTCGTAACTCCATGGGCTCGTTCTTTTTTACCACTTCTTCCCCTCGCTGCCTCGACGAGGTTTTGCGTAGGCATGACCCATAGCGAGGGCGGGGGGTGTACTCATAGTCGTGCATGCCGTAGTCGTTAGACCATTGACCTCGCATCCCTACAAAGCCGGGACGGAGCACGCCGGGTTCTC